GAGGCAGAGGCGGGGGGCCAGCCACTCAAGCCAGGTCAGTGCCTCTCAGAGGGCCTTGCCCTCACCGGGGAAACCGAGGGGGACTCCGCCCTGGAGCTGGGCAGGGTCTGGCCGCGCGACCTTGGGCCGCAGGCGGCCTCAGCCCAGACTGGAGCTTCCAGTGGACCTTAGCTAGGTGGATGGATATTCCTTCTCGTCTCCCGTCCTCCGCTTCTGGTTGTTTCTCGGGGAGTTCTGAGAGCAGTCAAGTGCAAAAGTCCGAGGGGGCAAAGGCACTGCCTTCCCCAGAAACGAATGGTCCTGCTTGAACCCCGTTGCGTGATGCTGTTCCTAGGGGGAACTGTGGAAGGCCTGGGGCTGTGAAGGGGGAAAGAACGGCCTGAGATCCCTCAGCAAAGGGAAGGGCCTTTTTTTTTTTTTTTTTTTTTTTTTTTAATCTGGCTTCCCAAACGCAGCGCTTTTGTCTTAGTACTCTTCTCTCTCTGGTTCCCTCCGCCCCGAGGAAACCCGAACCCCTTTGCTTGCTCAAGAAGTGGGGAAAGTTGGAAGTCATGGTGGAGCTCTGCTTGGGGCACAAGAGTTGATATATTAATAAGCTGTTGTGGCGTGCTGCTATCTCATGGGAAGGGTCAAGGGGTTTGGGGCCTGAGCCCTTCCTTAAGTGTCAATTGGAGAGTAACACCACTTTCGGGGAATGGTTCCTTCTGGTGGTAGGCTGGAGCAGGGCTTGGACCTACCCTGGGATTTACATTTTTACTCCTCCAGTTATCTAACTGTGAACTTTGATAAGATCGTTGCCCTTTCTTAGCCTCAGCAAATAATGGCTCACTTGTGTCGAGCTAAGAGGTAGATACAGTGGTAAAGTGTTTATAGATGGTATAGGATTAATTTTCATAAATCCCGGTGAAGTAGGCTACTGCTGTTATTTGTACTTTTTGAGGTGAGCAGGCTGAGGCTGAGAGGGATAATGTGTCCAGGGAGAGTTGACTGCTTTCCTTCACTAGGGACAACCAGACAACTGAAGCCAGGCCACAAACAAAGCAGACCCTAGTTTTCAGGTAGGGTCACTTCTTGGCTTCAGACATCAATATCAGCAGCAGTTTTGAAGTCTAAATGCTAAAGCTGTTATCTGGACAAATACCAAGGCCTCTCCTACACTTATCACCTGCTTCCAGAAAACATCTTGCCTGTGCCAAGATCAGGATAGCCAAGTAGGGATATTTGCCTCGTGAGGCCTCAGGATCTAGGGGTTCTAAGGCTGAGTGAAGTGGGGGAGGGGGGAAAGAGAGAGAGAGAGAGAGAGAGAGAGAGAGATCGCTGAGTTTCTTAGGACCCTGAAGAGCAACCTTCCTAGCCCACATTTTATAACAGTATAAGAGAAGACATGGCCCCAACTAATTAGAACCAGAGTGCAGGCCACAGAGAGAAGAGGGAGTATCCAACAAAGGGTTGTGATCTGGAAGCCTAGAACTAATAGGCTCTGTAGTGACAAGGAGGCATTTCAAGGGGTAGAGCTTTAAAACAAACCTATTCAACAGCATAGAATAATGCTAGCTATGGGTAAAGTCTGGGAAGAGGCAAATGCAACCTTGACCCTACCTGCCTATTACAGAATTCTCAGGCCCACCAGGGAGAAAGCAGATGCCCCCTCTATGAGCCTGATGTGAGGGGGGAGGGGGAGGGGGAGGGGCAGAACATTTGGATGTCAGAGGTGAGAAAGCCACATTCCAGATCATTGGTTAGATAAAAACAAGATCCAGGTAGTAATCAGCTTGAGTAGATCAGAGCAAAAAGGGCATTTACAGCCTCAGTGAGGATTCTGGAAAGGGAAGACACCTATCTTGATAGCGCCTCATTCTGCAGAGAGTTTTCCATCAGTGTATTGAGAGAGAACGGTTTGAGTCTCTGGAGACTGAGGTTTACATCACCTTGGTTTGCCTGAAGCCTCTCACACAGCTCATCGTTCCTTCAGTAAGTGACTTTTTTTTCCTTCCTTTTTTTTAAACTTGTAGCACCGGGGATTGAACCTCGGTCCCTGACAATGCTACGCCCCCAGCCTCAAGTAATATGATGGGTCACTACTAAGCATTAGCTACTAGACAAGGAAACAGCAGACAAAACCAGCAAGTTACCTGGTGTCTTTGTTTATTTTCTCATAATTCTGGAGGCTGAGAATTCTAAGATCAGGGTGCTGGTAAGTTCAGTACAAGATCCATCCATTTCTTATAGCCAACTCTCTCTGGCTATGCCCACATGACAGGGAGAGAGGAAAGAAAGAGAACTTGCACAGCAGAGTATCAGAAGGATAAAAAGAAAAAGGCCTATGACTGTTAGCTTGCTTTTTCTTCTTTACTTCTTCTAAGATTTTGATTATAAAGTTTTGTGTGGCTCGAGTGTTTTGTCTGCATGTGTGTCCATGCAGGTGCCCTCAGAGGCTAGAAGAGGATGCCAGAACCCCTTGAACTGGAGTTACAGACAGCTGTAAGCCGTTGTGTATGTGCCTGGAACAGAACTGAGCCTGGGTCCTTTGCAAAAGCATCAAGTACTCTAACTGCTGAGCCATCTCCAGCTTCTTAGTTTTGTCAACATGATATAATCTATAATCACGTGGGGAAAGAGCCTTAGTAAGAATTGTCTAGGTTAGACTGGGCTGTTGGTTTGCCTATGAGGGATTTTCTTAATGGGTTAATTGAACTGGGGAGACTCACCCTGAACATGGGCAGCTCTGTTTCCTGGGCTGGGCCCCAGACTGACACAAAGGGGAAAAGGGCTCTCCAAAAGCACACGTGTATTCTTGCCATCTGTTCCTGATTTTGGATGTGGTATGACTGGCTGTCTCCTACTACTGTGGCTTTCCAGACATGATGATGTAACCTGGAATTGTGAGCTAAATTAAACCCTTCCCCCCCTACGTTACTTTTGTCAAGGGGTTCATCGCAGCAGCTGGCAAGGAGACTTAAGACACAGCCTAAGTTATTTTTCCTGGCCCTTTATAAGGCACAAGTTCAGAGACTCCATGACTGAATGGCTTCCCTAAAGACCCAACTTCTTATTTAAAGACTTGTTTATTTTATTTTGTGTGTATGAGAGTTTTGCTTGTGGGTTTGTCCACGTTATCATGTGTGTGCTCCCAGAGGGCAGAAGAGGATGCTGGAGACCCCCTGGAGCCCGAGTTATAGCTGGTTGTGGGACCTCTGGAAGAGCTGCCAATACTCATAATTGCTAAGCCATCTCTCCAGCCCCTGGAGACCCAACAGCTTCTTTCCACCACCACTGTGGGGTTTATGTTTCAATGTGAGTTTTGGTCATGAGGGATGCAGGCTCAAGCCATCACTGTTCTTCAGGAATCTCAAGACTTAGTGAGGTGACAGCAGCTTTTTGTGTCACTTTTGCTAAGCACCGAATGAAACAAACAGGATGTCAGGATGGAACGCCCTTCTCACCCATCAAATGCAGAGTTAAAAAACCCCTGAAGAGATTTTTGAACCAATGCTGAAATAATAATAACAGTAGAGAGGAAAGAGTTCCAGACTGAGGGTGCCACAGGTGTAAAGACGGCTCCGGGACAATCAAGGCTGGTGGTTTCGTAGGACAACTGGAGCAGGTGAAGGTTGAAGTGAGCCTGGTGGTCCTAGGTTGAGCTGTGACCTGCAGGGTATTTAGAAGGCTAGGGATGAGATGTGGCTCAGTTGGTATAGCAGTTGCCCAGAGGAAGTGCTGGGTTTCATCCCCACCACCACATTGAAACTAGGCATGATGTCACATGCCTGTAATTCATTAGGAGGTGAAGGTAGAAGGATCAGAAGTTCAGCGTCACCTTTGACTTTGTAAGACCCTGTTACAAAAAAGAAAAGAAAAGAAGGCATATGTAGTGGGGGCAGTGAGAACTTCATTTATTATCTCATTTTTACACACTTTGTGTATGTTGGTTAGACGTGTGTTTGTATGTGTGTCCATGTGGAAGCCCAAGGCCGACGTAGGTGTCTTCTTGACCCTCTCTACCTTATTTATATGTTGAGGCAAGGTCTCTTACTCATCAGCCTTGAGTTCTGCTCATCTGGCTAGTCAGCTTGCTCAGGGGATTTCCTGTCTTCTTGCTGGGATTATAGGTGTGGGTGGGTTCTGAACTCAGGTCCTCACACTTGAGCTCTTTATCCACTGAGCCATCTGCCCATCCCAAGGACTTTAAAAATTAGAAAATGTAGACAAAATGCCCCTAGCTGTTACGTGCAGGGACAGGTGATGGAATCGGATTTGGGTCGGGGACAGACAAGACTGAATTTACAAAACAGCAAGCCAAAGGCCTTGGAAAGACTTAGGTTTAGAGGTGCCTGGGGTAAAAGGAATGAAGGGCGTTGAAGCCTCAGCTTTGCCTAGGCCCAGCACAACAACTGGTGGATCACTTAAATTTCCTTCAAAAAGCATGATGCATATTGTTGCTCCAGTTACTCATCATTGCTCAGTGCTGGTCCATTTCACAGAGGAGGAAGTGGAGGACACAGAAATGAATGTCAGGTGGCCTATTTGCTGTTACATTCTGCCTCCCTCAGGCACATGGGGGAGGTGAATGGCCAGGAAGAATCTTCAATCCCTGTCCATCAGGCCACAGATAAGATCTACTTAAGGGCTGCATACTGTGACCTTTAGTGTGAACTCAGGCTTAAAGGATTACACTTGAGAAATGGGGACTGGCCTGATTAAGGAGAAGGAAAGCCCTCGAAATAGTGGCCTTTCAACTAGCCAGTCTCTAAAGACATGGGAGAGCAGGAGGCTTAAACTTAGACACCAGGTCTGAAGAGCTGGGACAAACTCTCTGGCTAGTGAATGGCCCTCCTGTTTAACACACACAGAGGGAGTGATGGGGGAAGGCTGGCCTGGTAGGTGGGTGCCTGGAGTGACTTTGTACAGAACTAGCCACCTGGCCCAGGGGAGAGCCCAGAAATCCTCAAAGGGGATTGTGAGTAGACTGGGTTTTCATGTGGTGAATCGGTGAAGTGGTGACCAGTACAGAGAAGTTCCTCCTGGTTCTTTAAACTGTGGATTTCCCTCCCTCCCTCCCTCCCTTACTCCCTCCCTTGGTGTGTGTGTGTGTGAGAGAGAGAGAGAGAGACAGAGACAGAGACAGAGACAGAGAGAGAGAGAGAGAGAGAGAGAGAGAGACAGAGACAGAGAGGATAATGCATGTAGGCCTCCTCATTCTATAGCCCAGACTATAGCCCCTCCTTCCTGTCTTAGCTTCCCAAGTCTTGGGATTGTAAGTTTGTGCCACCACACTCCTGCAAGAGTGAACTTTGTGCCTGTTCATGGGCTGAGCTGCTGCAGATCACGTGCTGGCTTGTCCACCCCTCGGGGCTCAGCTCATACTGTTGTTCATCAGTGTTTCGTTCTCTGAGGCATACCCCTTGTTTCTCTAACCTAAGCTGCTGGTTATCTGTTTTGTATGTTCTTGCTATGCACTGGGACAAGATCTTGTGTTATTTGTCACTGTACTGCAGTACATGTGCCAGGCTCTTGGAAAATATTTTTCAATCTGTTGACCAAATCAGACCAAAGTCTCCCACTTTAGGAATAGCGAAACACAGTCCAGCGAGAGGAGGTTAGACAGCTCCTCCAACCAGCCAATGGTACCGAAATGCCTAGGCGTGGCCCTTTCTGTCCCACCTCACAGCCTGGAACAGACAGGCTGAGAGGTTTGCCCGGGGTCAATACTAGCTAGAGTTTGGAGGAGCATTCTACTACTTATCTAGCTTTTGTGACATTTCCCTCTTCCTAGCCATGGTCTTCCCATTTTGCTTGTCCTGGAAACTTCATAGAGCCAGGCAGATGCCCTGGGCCACGGCTGAAAAGGGCAGCACTTGAGAAGAGTTGAGGTCCAAGGGTGGGTGTTAGCTCATGGGAAGCCACAAGCACCCAGGAAATTGTGTGCAAAGACTCCCCAAGCGTGAGGGGTCATGGCAGATGCTGATGCTGCCCAGAGTGGGCCCTGGTGTTATACAAGAAACTGAACATGCCAAGGCAGCAGCTAATACTGTTCTGTCTTGAAGTGACATGGGAACCACCAACACACTGGAGGATTTTGAGTAGAGCTGGCTGGCTGTGGCTAATGTTTAGGGGAGAGTACTGGTGGTATAAGAATAACAGGCAGTGGGGAGGCCCCTGAGATCCTATAGAGTTTCAGCAGATGCTATAATGGTGTTTCCAGGAGGCGTGGCATTGGTGGGCACTGTGCAGAGAGAATGAGAGGCCTCACTCTTGTTTCTTGGCAGGCGATTTTGTGCAGCTGCCTGTGCCCATCATCCAGCAGCTATACCATTGGGACTGTGGCCTGGCCTGCTCTAGGATGGTGCTTCGGTGAGTGTCCACACCTGCTGTGACATCAAACAGGAAGTAACCTTGGTGGGATTTAGCATCTTTATGGGTTGGCTTTGTTTGAAACTTTAAGAGACCCAGCTTCATTTAGGCCCTGTCCTATTTTAAACATGAACAGAAAGTGGATCAGGCTGCCCAAGTGTTGACTCAGGTGATGCCTGGGAGCATGGGGTGGTCAGGGAATTCCCAGTGTTCAGGTTGGGTGCTTGGTGCATCTTCCCACTCTCTGACGTCAGGTTACCAGGATGCTACAGCAGTGTGAGAACAGTGATAGTCTGAGCCAGGAAGGACCATTCCCATCACCTTGGTTGTCTGGAGATTCAGATCGGTTCTCCTTTATCTACCTTATGTACTAGAATTCTGGCCAATAAGAAGTTTAGTGCCTGAAATTTTGAAAACCATATCCAGGGGCTTAGATATGCAATCAATGAGGCCAGAGGAAGCAGCAACTTCCCCAAGTTCATATCATCCATAAGAGATGCAAGAACCAAAATCTAGGCCCTTCACTCTGGGGCCAGACAGTGTCCCAGGCCACCTGAGCCCTGAAAGCCACCATGGTGGTTTCATGATAAAGAGCAGAGACCTCTGAAGATAAGAAGTGTCAGCAGTGGCTGTGGCACTTATTGGAAGGTGACTTCATCTAGCTTTGCCTCAAGAACAAGCTAATCTCTTTGTCCTCAGGTACCTGGGCCAGCTAGATGATGGGGAGTTTCAAAATGCCCTGCAGGAGCTGCAGCTGACCAGGAGCATCTGGACCATCGACCTGGCCTACCTGATGCGCCACTTCGGTGTGAGACACCGCTTCTGTACCCAGACTCTAGGTGTTGACAAGGGCTATAAGAATCAGGTGAGCAGCTACCCACCGGGTATAGGGAATGGTCAAAGCCAGGACACTCGAGTAAATGCACCGGTATACAGAGACCAATGGCAGTGGCAGATAGACTACAGACCAGGGACGTTGATGTCTAGGCTGTATGGAGCATATGCACATTGAGTCCAGGACTTCTGTGTCTTTCTCCACTGCAGCACAGGACAGGCTGAAGGCTGTGGAGTTGTACTCTGATCTTACATGACTATCATTGGCTTGTTTCCCTCAAACTCACTAGGGTAATTGGTATTCTGGAAGAAAAACATGTATTGTCTCTGTCTGTCTGCTTTCTGTCCTTTTTTTGTCTCTCTTGAAAAATAATGCCATCAGAAATGGCTGTGCCAACACCAGTGTGTTCTGTCCCCTTGCAAAACCAGAGGCAGTCTTACCTGTCCTTGAGGCCGTCTTGGCCCAGGCACCATGGCTTGGCAGGGTAGTCTCTACTAGCCTTGTTGTCAAAAGGGCTGCCACATGGTGGCCAGTGGCAGTCAGCCTAATTCTTCTTCGAACCTTCCATGCCAGGTAAAGAAGGCTACTAAATATTAAGACAGAAAAAGGGCACCTGAGAACAGAATGTCTTTGGCCTGCCTCCTGGGGCTCTGGTCACGTGAGGTCCCAGCACCAAGCAGAGTGTGTTCCGTAAATCATGCTTGGCTACGCTGGCCTGTGACTGAGCTATCCTGGCGTGGATTGGAAGGGCAGCCTTGCCCTCCTTACTCCTTTGCTTTAGGCTGCTGCTCACATCTGTCCTGACCAGTCCTCCTCGGGGTGCTCGTCAACTTTCTCAGCTTGGGCATCCTTTTCATCCTTTGTGTGGTCCTGTCCCCTCTCCAGCCAGGGACAGACACAGCCTTCTTCCTGAGCATCCTGGGTAGAGCCACCTGCCTGCCAGTAGGGCTCGCATACCTTCATGTTCCTGCTTCTATAACATGCTCATTGCTTCATCTAAATGGAGTATGGGGGACCACTCCAGCCTGCCTTTCTCGCTTCAGTCCTTCTACAGGAAGCACTTTGACACCGAGGAGACCCGGGTGAACCAGCTGTTTGCACAAGCCAAGGCCTGCAAGGTGCGAGTGGAGAAATGGTAAGCCACAGTGACAAGCCAGTACATTGCCACTTGCAGGGAGCTCAGGGCCGGGGCAGACAAGCCCAGTCCTAATATACCATAGCACTGGGGATGCATTCAAATTGGGGGGCATCAATTTGGAAGAGGGGGACAAAGGCCCACTGGCACTGACTGACCCCCCCTCCTGCCCCACAGCACAGTGAGTGTGCAGGACATCCAAGCACACCTGGCCCAGGGCCACGTGGCCATCGTGTTGGTGAACTCTGGAGTGCTGCACTGTGACCTGTGCTCCAGCCCTGTCAAGTACTGCTGCTTCACTCCCAGTGGCCACCGCTGCTTCTGCCGTACCCCTGACTACCAGGGCCACTTCATCGTTCTGCGTGGCTACAACAGGGCTACTGGCTGTATCTTCTATAACAACCCAGCCTATGCTGACCGTGAGTGCTGGGGGCAGGTGGGCCCAGGTGGTTTGTGTCTACACAACTTCCTCCCCTTCAAGCTGGTGTGGCCCATGTCTCTCTCTCCAAGGTCTGTGCTCCTCCTGGAATTTTGTCATCAGGGCTTGCCCCTCTGGTCACACAAGCAAACCTTCTGCTGTCCTGGGTTCCAGCTGCCTCTCCTCACACTCTGCCAGCTTCACTCTACTGCTCAGATCCCCACCTTGATCACTCACGTTCCACAGGCTATCGGCCCCACTCCTAGGCTTTCTGGGATAGCCAACACACAAGCTAGAAAGTCTGGCCAGACCTTGTCCTTGTAGACTGCCCACTGTCCTCAGGCCATGGTGTGAAGGACTTCCCTGACCATCTTTGTATCTTGACACACATTTAACATACTTCTCTATGTTACTTTCTCTATCTGCTAAACTAGGAATGGGAGGCTTGAGGCAAGGAGTAGAACACAGACCCCATCCAGGCCCCTGGGTATCAGCAGGGTGAGTGTTTACCCCACCCACTGGCCTGACTCTGACTTTCTCACACCTGGCAGGAATGTGCAGCACCAGCATCAGTAACTTCGAGGAGGCCAGAACCAGCTACGGCACAGATGAGGACATCCTCTTTGTCTACCTGGACAGCTGACAGCAGGAGCCTGGCATGTCAGGTCCTCAGACTCTATCTATGTCCTGCCTGAGCCAGACCCACTCAGGATGCCCACACCTAGGGCTGAGGTTCAGAACTGTAGTCTCAGCGTGCTTGACAAAGCCCTTGGGAAGTCTGTGACTGCTTTGTCCACCAGTGTCATCATGCCACTTACCCTAGACATCTTCTAGTTGCTGGAGACAACCCAAGAGCATGTAAGGGGAGTGTCTCTCAAAACCCTACGTCTGGCTCCAGCTACGCCCAAGGCCAGGGGAGAGGCAGGAACCCTGAGAGAGAAGCATGTTTGGGGGAAGCACATCCAAATTCAGGCCTGTGGCTCTGGGCCCCTCTGAGCCCCGTGGTGGATGGTCACTGCTCTCTCCTGTCTCCCATGGACTCAGGGCTCTGCGACTGGTTATGAGGCCTTGTTACCATGCAGCATAAGCATACCTCATGGCCATTCTGAGACCCTCTGACCCCTGGGATGCTGACTGACACCTTCTATAGAATGGAAAGCCTTTAGAAGTGGGCGGGGGTAAGTGGATGACAGCCGAGAGATGTTCCAGGAAGAGGGTGCTGGCGAGACTCCCCAGAGAGCCCCTGTATCCACGAGGCCTCCTCACACCAGCTTGACTTCCCACAACTGCATCTGCCCTGCAAGTCAGAGCCTTTTGAGGATGGGTGCTAGAGGGCCCGTGAGCCTAAAACAGCAGGCAGCGTCCCATCCACCCTGGTGTTCAGACCAGGGGCATTTGTACAGAATACTGGGTCTCTTCAGTCTTGAAGAAAGGCAATGCCAATGTCACAGAGCCCAGCAGGTAATAGCATCAGCTGGAGCTGGTTTGTCTTTTTTTTTTTTTTTTTTTCTCTTGGTAGCAGGAGTGTTGTTTTATTGAGACTTCAGTTTCCACTGTGTGGGGAGTAAGACAATAATAGATACAGGTACTTTGAAACCACTAATGCTTCTTTACATAGGGTGGATAGGCCAGTCCGAGTTCTTAAGCAGATGACTGGCATGGCCTGGCCAGCAGTCTGAGCGGTGGAGCTGCACCAAAGACACAAGTGAATGGGTCATTCCCAAAGAGCTTAGGGAGCCCACTCTTCATGGTACCCCAACAGCCTCTCACTGTCCCCTCGCTCCAGGGGTCTTGGTCGTTCAGTGCTCAAGGCATGACATGGCAGTAGCTGCTTCCCTTACCACTAGCTGGCCCCTCATGGTAGTTTGCGGGCCAGAGGTGGTCTGTGTTTACAAGGGCAGTCAGACCACTCACCTATATTATTCCTCAATATGAGATGAAGCCTTGGGTGGGAAGGAGGTGCTGATGGCTTGGCAGCCACTCTGGGTTTCAGAGACTAGCACTGGTTTTGGTCTGGTCTGGTCTCGTTTCCATTGCCTTAATGCTGAGTAGCCCAGGGCCCCAAGGAACTCTGGCTCCAAGCTCAGGAGTACCACATAGCAGCTATGGGTATGGGTGTCCTCAAAGAGGTTCAGGTATAATTGTTGAATCTGGCTGACAGGAGGAAATAAAGCCTTCTCAACAACCGAAGGCATGGCACATGGGTGCTTATGGAAGGTGACTTCTGTAGAAGGCAGTCATCGTTTACCATCTAGAACACTTAAAAATACTCAGCCCCTGGACCCAGATAATGGCTTCTTAGGGCAAGGCACAAGTTAGAGTCCACCAGTCTGTAAGAACAACACGAGAGCTGCTGTCTTCAAGAGGAGGATCACAGAGGCATTGTCACCAGGCGCTCCGTGTTATATCGCACTAGTCATGAAAATGGGCACAAGAAAGCCCTGGCATCAGAGACTTGCCCACAGCATGCGACACCCACAGCTTCTCAGCTCTGACACTCCACGGGGACTGCGGACGGTTTTTGTTCACTCTAGCCACATGAGGATGAAAGGGATTTTTGCATAGCAGGATTTTCTACATAAATATATTTTGTTTGTAATGAGCCATTCTCAATAAATCTTCTCACTGAATGGTGGTAGCCCGCTTTGTCCAGCTGCTGTGAAGCTGTGTTAACCTGCAGAGCTCCTGCCTCCCCAGATGGTTGCTGTGACTGCTTTGAACCAGGTCCTTGGGATTCTCTATCTAGTCTTAGCTGGCACTGGAATCTCATTTTCTGCCTTCCAGGCCTCACCCAGGCCTTGGTGCTGGACAAGGATAGACAGTACCTATATATTTCAGAACTCAGACTGGCTCTTGAAGAAGACAGGACATTTGACTGAGGCAAGGGGAGCCAGTCATCTATAGGAAGGGAACAGGGGGCTCAATGGGAGGACCCTAACCTTTGTTCCCGTTGCTCCAGCCTGCAGCCAGTTAATAGGTCCTCTAGGCTTTTATTTGGCATAATGTTTGACACCTCCATCACCGGTGTAGATGACTCTTGACAGAATTCACTTTTCAGGCTGAGTAAGAAATTCACCATCCCAGTTCCTTACAGCAATCAAGGAGAAGCCACTGTCTCCTCTCGCCTCTCACTTTACTTCAAGCAGCAAAAAAAACAAAACCAAACCAAACAAAAAAAACCAGCAGGCCCAGTACCTTCCTGAGCTTAGTGCCTCACCACCTTCTTACTGGGTCCTTTTTCTTTTGCTCCCTTTGAGCAATGTTTAGACCAAGAGCTGTTTGTCGAGCAGGCCAAGGCTCACTGCCTGAGGGTCCAACAACCCTGACACTCCCTTTAAAATGCTTTGAGGGTCCAACAACCCTGACACGCCCTTTAAAATGCTTTAAGCCTCTGTAGTCAATAGTTTTGCTGATTGGCACTTCCGACAGAGGGAAGCTAGAGGCACCTCTGAGAGGTCCCTGACACAGTGACTATTCTCCAAAGCTGGCTGGATATTAAAAAATAAATTTATTGCTGGGCTGTGATGGCACACACCTTTAAGCCCAGCAGTGGGGAGGCATAGGCAGGCAGATCTCTGTGGTGAGTTCCAGGACAGCTGGTATTTAATTTATTTTTATTTTATATTAAAAATTTGGGGGGGGGGGCTGGAGAGATGGCTCAGAGGTTAAGAGCACCGACTGCTCTTCCAGAGGTCCTGAGTTCAATTCCCAGCAACACATGGTGGCTCACAACCATCCGTTATAAGATCTGGTGCCCTCTTCTGGTGTGCAGATATACATAGAAGCAGAATGTTGTATGCATAATAAATAAGTAAAATCTTAAAAAATTTTTTGTTTTGTTTTTGAGATAGGGTTCTCTGTGTAGCCCTAACTGTCCTGGAACTTCCTCTGTAGGCCAGAGCTGGCCTTGAACTCATAGAGATTCTCCTGCCTCTGTGTCCTGAGTCCTGGGATCAAAGGCGTGCGCCATATTGCCTGGTTAATTTTTTTCTTTCTTTTTAATGGTGTATGGATGGACGTTTTGCCTGTGTGTATGTCTGTGCACCACCTGTATGCTTACTGACTGGAGGCCAGAAGAGTGTGTCAAGTTTCCTGCACCTGGAGGCAGAGACCATTGTGAGCTTCCATGTGGGTGCTGGGAATCAAACTCCCGTCCTCTGGAAGAGCAGCCAGTGCTCTTAACCACTGAGCCATCTCTCCAGCCCCTCAAATGGTATTTCAAGACTCTTCTATTTGGGTCTGTGAATTGGGTAAATCACGGCTGTGACACATAAATACATAGATACCCATCCTAAGAACATGTTTCTTTGAACCAACTGGAATAGGGCTGTTGATTTAGTCTGCAGGACCTGGATTCTATTTATCATTGTGTTGGAAATGACAACTCATCCACTGTTGTGAGCTGGACATACAGGAAGAGATTGCTAGCAATGCAGAGGCTACCACACCAGGCCAGGCTTGTGTTTGACCGATTCTCTTGCAAGGAAAGAGTTTCACCTTGTAAAAGTTATTCTTGGCTCCCACTCAAAGGGTGCTGTTTTGTGGGCTAGAGGACATAAGACATCAAGTAGAATGTCCACCTGAGGCATATGATATCTCCAGTATGCAGAGTTCTTGAAAGGACTGGCCTGCCTTCTTCAGTGATGGTAGAAGATTAAAAAGGAGACAGTCTAGGGTACAGTTAGAACCTCCTTGTGGTTGGGTGGTTGGTTGGTGCATATCACTGGTGACACTTTGCCATATTATCATACTCCAGTTTGATCAGCCAGCTCTGGGGATACAGTGAAGGCTACCAAACAGACATGTGATCTAATTGTGGCTTTCAGAGCCATTTGTAGTCGACCAGTGGTACATTTCTATCACAAAAGTCACCCTACAGTGGCTGACAGTCCAGGTGTCCACACTTCCTGCTGTCTGTAAGCACCTGGCACCGTTTAGTATTAGAATAGCTTCCTGAAAAACCAACTCAGAAATATGTGTTTGACTTTCTCAACCAAGGATGATTAAATAGAATCATGAGACCCTATGCTGTTGAGAGTCTCTTTTGGGAGACAGATACCAGACCCGGTCTTCCATCCATGCTTAAGGATACCAGTTTCACAGGCACGTGCTTTGGTCATTCACACAGAAATTTGCAACCTCATTTTTGCACATATTAGCTTGCAAGTAAGAAAAAAAAAAAACCTACCTCTTTAGGGTTCCTGAATGTTTGAACATTTTTTTTTTTAATATAGTGAATTCCATTTCCTGAATTCTGTCCTGAAGATATACTCTGAAGGAAACAGAAACAGGACCAGGTTTAGCCTTTAAAATGTTCATACCTGCTTCTTTGGTCATAGCAATACAGAGGGATGAATAAATGAAGAATAAATGAATGAATAACTTAAGTCTGATGTAGGAGAATGATTAAATAAGGGACTATTCAGACGTAAAATATGCAGGTTGTAGAAATAGTTTTAAAACCAACTTTTTATGAAGTAGGAAAATGCTCACATGTTGTGAAACAGTGGAGTGACAACATATGGATCCAATTACATTAAAATAGGTACTAAAAAGCCTGAAGAGATTTATTCCAAAACATTAGTTAGGAGTTATCTCTCGGGGCAGAGATGATTTTTTTTTCTCACATTCCAAATCCTCTATGAAATGCTTATTTCCGACAAGAGAGGCTGATTTCTCTTTGATTGCCACAGTCCCCAGCACTCTCTCACCCACAATCCCCAGCTGTGACTTCATTTGCTCACTAGATGTTCCCTGGGGCTAACTGTACTCCAGGCACTAGAAGAGGAAGAATCCAGGAGTCGGGGCAATGTGCAGCTCTCAGCTTACAGACACCATAGCGCAGGACCTTTGACTCATCCTAGACCACTGGCTGACCAGGAAGGCCTTCCCCAGCAGGTGGCTGTCCATGTGGGCAGGCGTTAGCGATTGGATGGAGGAGAGCAACAGACTCCTTGACCGTGGATGCTCTGTGGGAGGAGCATGTGATGTCAAGCCTGGGCTGGCATCCCCTCTACACTGGGGATAAGGCTGCAGCTCTGGCTCATCTTTGGAAGGAAGAAGAAAACACAAAACCTTGTGTTTCCTTGCTTATGTGGGGAAAAAGAATCAGCCCTTCAAAAACCTGTCTCCTCTATCTCAGGTGACATCAGTCATGACTGGGGCCCTCGGCAACAAGAAAAGAACTGCAAAGTGACTTTGACAACCCCCTCCTCAAAAGAGATGTGCTAAGTTGGGCATGGTGGCCTTTGATCCCCACTACTGGGAGGCAAAGGCAGGTCAATCGATGTGAGTTTGAGGCCAGCCCAGTCTACATAGCAAATTTCAAGCCCATCAGGACTACGTACTGAGATCCTGTTTTTTTAAGTTAAAAAGAAAAAAAAAGGGGGGGGGACCTTTGGAAAATATTGTCAAACTGAGATAAATTTAGTCTATCTACAAAATTGATCAACTTTGGTCCAAAACAGGTTCCAATGATAGTGAACTGTACCCTGGCTTGATGTGTAAACCAACTGTAATCTAAGAGTAAATACCCTAATTGAGTATTGATCAACTGCAGAAGTCCAAGTTTCAGCCAATCATGAGTATGTGTGTGTCCAGATGGGGTGTGTGGTGGGGTAAAGTCCTCATGCCAGTGTAGTAAGCTTTGCTGATGACTGGCTTTGTTGATCTTTTTGAAGGACAAACTTGGTTTTATTGGTTTCCTCTACTGAGGGTGTGTGTGCATGCTGTGGCCAGAGGTCAATCACGCTAATCATGCAGTTCCCCAGGGTGCATTTCACACCCTTTTTTTTTTCTTTTTGAGACAGTCTTTCTCTGACCTGGGAATCACTGAATAGGTTAGGTTAAACTAGGCTAGAAAGACCCAAGCGTCTCCCTGTCTCTACTTTCCCATAGGCAAGGACAGATCTAACACACGGTGAGGTCCGAGGACCACTGTTCCTGCAGCACATAGGGTTAAGGATGACAGCTCAAACGTGGCCAGGCAGTTCCATTGGACTTTATCAGCCAAGGTGCTACCTAAAGGACACCTATCCCCAACATGGGGTTGTTCATACAATTTAGCCACTGGGCAACAATGTTGCCTGTACCAGGCTTGTTCTTGGGGGCTACCAACCAGCTCCCAAATTATGACACAGAGACTTATTAGTAACTTTTGAATGTTCATCCTAGGTTAGGCATGTTTCTGGCTAGCTCTTTTAACTTAAATTAACCTTTTTCTCTTCATCTAGCTTTCTGAGTTTTGTTTGTTTGTTTGCTTTTCTGAGACAGGGTTTTCTCTGTGTAACAGTCCTGGCTGTCAAGGAACTTGCTTTGTAGACCAGGATGGTCTTGAATTCACTTCAATTTTTGTTTGTTTGTTTGTTTGTTTTTTGAGACAGGGTTTCTCTGTGCAGCTTTGGAGCCTATCCTGGCACTCGCTCTGGAGACCAGGCTGGTCTCGAAACTCACAGAGATCCACCTACTTCTGCCTCCTGAGTGCTGAGATTAAAGACTTTGAATTCACTTCTTTTTTCACCTTTTGCCTCAGTGTTGTTTACCTTTTCTCTCTGTTGTATAACTTACTTTCACTACTTCTGTGTCAGACAGGCTGGAGGCTGCCGGGCTCCTTGCTTCTTGCCCCAGGCGTGTCCCTTGGAACCTAGACTTCTCCTGTTTATTTTCTCTGCCCTCCAGCCCCATCTATCGTTTCTCCTGCCTAGCTATTGGCCATTCAGCTCTAAGGACAACCAGGAGCTTTCTTAGGCAGGCCAGGTGAAACAAAAGCAACACATCTTTACATAATTAAATGCACATCCTTACAAATGCAACATAAATATAACACACATTTACCTAGCTAAAGCAATATTCTGCAGCATAAACAAATGTAACACCATCTTTGCCTAGTTAAAATAATATTCCACAACAGTTGCCTTCTCTGATGAGGAACAGGAAGGGTGGGGCTCCAAAGCACCGCCCCCCATCCCTGACTCTGATCAGACAGTCTGAGGCTCAGCGCTTGCTGTACCCCTGAGCTACACCTTCTGCACCTGGGGTTGGTATAAGGGGCACAGCCCACACAGGCACCGCACTGACAACTGCCAAGGAGCTTCACGGAGAATCTAGTCTGTCTCATCACCATGCTAAAACCTAAAGCAGGACAGCCACTCGACTCCATTATACCAGCACACAGGCAGAGAATTGAGTGACCTAATTGTAAGTCAGGGTCATCCACTGAGGTGGGAACCATGAGAAAATGAACAGAAATAAAAGACAGCAGAGACTTAGTAGAAGGCATTTTCAGATGTGACGATGGGGCTGGTTAGGCAAGCCTGAGACCCACAGGGAAGGCCATCAGGAAGGGCAGGCTGGGACTCTCGGGGCACTGGCTGGTGACCTGCCCCACCATCATATAAATGCTTATGGTAGCATCCACCATACAATGGACAACCACTTCTGTATTTTTTCCATAGGAAAGAGTGTCATTAATGTCTTTAAACCAAATCAAATGAATAGAATGCCAGAAACCCAGAACCAAAGAGAAAAACTCATCCTTAAGATTCTGTTCTTTGGGATTGCTTTTGACGTCAAAGTCTGTATTAGTTAGACCCAGCCAAAGGCAGGACTCACAGAGTTTATAGTAGGAGACGTTATGTGGACGTGAAGGGAGTGACGTGGGGCTGACTAGGTGCTGTGGAATAGTCTTTTTATACACTGTAAAAGATGTGTCTCTGCTTAAGGCCCCTTCTGGTTGGTTTAATAAAAAGTTGAACAGCAAATAGCTAGGCAGGAGAGGATAGGCAGGATTTCTTGGGAAGAGAGAGGAATTCTGGGAAGAAGAATTAGTTGTGGCAGGAGACACCAGTGAGACTCAGAACAAGTCAGACATACAGAATAGAAAAGAATTTCTCTAAAGCCACATGGCAGAACATAGAAGTTATAAGAGCTAGCTGGGAACAAGCCTAAGCTAAGGCCAAGCTTTCATAATTAATAAGAAGTCTCCGTGTTGTTGACTCCGGGCTGGCAGTCCAAGGAAAGTCCGACTATAGCTAGGCAAGTCTAATAGCTCCAGGGAAGTCTGTTAGGGAGGCAGGTTGAACCTCTCAGCAAGGATTGGAACTGCTATCTACACACAATTTCTTCCTTCCCACAGAAACCACGGAGGTTCCCATCCAGGCTTGTTGGCATGATCTCACTCATGGCTATAAACTTTAATGACATCTGTAAGATATCTTTGTACAAAGCAATCTGTGATGGTTATGCTTGGTTATCAATTTAGGAAGCTTAGAATGGCATGGAGGTAAACCTCCCTGTAAACCTATGAGGAAATGTCTAGATTGGGCAATTGACGTGGGCAGTATCATCCCATGGTCTCTGGTGATGGACTGTCTCCTTCCTTCTGTAGGCCTAAGGGAGCCAGCTGCCAAAATCCTGCCATCACTATATCTCTGCTATGGTGGACTTTGCCTTGGAACTATGAGCAACTCCTCACCTCCTTCTTAAGTCTATCATGTATTTTTGTGGCAGCAATAATAAAAGTGGCTATCATGCAGAGCATGGTAGCACACGCCTATCATCCCAGCTAAACAAGGATGACTAAGACAAGAAGTCTAAGAGCAGCCCGGACAACCTAGTGAGAGCTAGGTCGTCTTAACCTTCTGTGTCCTAAATCTTTTTTACACTCACCTAGGTCTGTACCTAACTGAAGAGTTTGGAACTATAGCCAAAGTGGGGATACATCACAGAACATCCCACCTGCTCACAACCATGCTGTGCCTCCTGTTTAGTTTTGTCGTCAACTTGGCACATCTGGGAAGAGGGAACCTCAATCGTCTTCCTCAGATTGGGGCTTTTTCATAGTTGCCAATTGATATAGGAAGGCCCAGCCCACTGTGGGCGGTGCCACTGCTGGGCAAGTGGGCTTGGGCTGCACAAGAAAAGGAGCTGAGCAAGCCATGGGCAGCTAGCCAGTAAGCAATAATCCTCCATGGTCTCTGCTTCAGTTCCTGCCTCCAGCACCTGTTCTGGTTCTGGTTTCTCTCCAAATAAACCTTTTCCTCCTGCTCGTCCTAACATCCCCCCACCACTTCTCTGAGTAACAGCTCTGGGTGTTCTGGAACTAGCTCTGTAGACCAGACTGGCCTCGAACTCAAAGACAGCCACCTGCCTCTGACTCCTGAGTGCTGGGATTGAAGGCGTGCGCCACCACCGTCTGGTCCATTCATTTCTTTTGGTCAGTGTTTTATGACTGTATGAGGAAAACCAAACCAGAATGCTTTGTGGTCTCTGTGATCCTCCATCTGCCCTCGCCCTCCACTAGCACACAGTCTCCAAAACTGACCCTCAAGGAGCTGACACCTCAACACCGGAGCATCCTGTGTGTCTAATTTCAAATCCACCAGCATAAGCAACATCTAGGGGTTTCTTAAATTGAGGTAGAACTTGTATAACAAATGAAACTCTTCAAGTGTATAATAGAGTTATACTTAATACGCTTCCAAGGTTGTTGAACCATCCCCAGAATATTTCTGACACCCTAGAAGAAAACAAAGCACTAACTTTTAGCATCTAATTTTTCCCTTTCCCAGTCGATCTGCCTCCTGCTTAGACAGTTAAAACCCCATCATGCACTTTAAAAGTCACCCACTGGGGCCTCAGATGTCCTATACCTATCTGACTGGCCTAGGAAGGCAGGGGCTGGAGTCTTCATGATGGTGGCGCTGTAGTTGGGTTTGACAGACTCAACAAGCTCCCAAATACACATCTCAAATCTATCTGCAATCAGAAACACACACACACACACACACACACACACACACACACACACACACACACACATGCTGGACACAGTGGTATACACTTTTAATCCCAGAACTTGAGAGGCAAGGGCAGGCAGATGTCTTTGAGTTTAAGGCCAGCCTAGTATATAAAGCAAGTTCCAAACCAGCCAGGGATACCCAGTCTCAAAACATAAACACACAAATCCCAAATGCAACCAACTACAAACACACACTACCTTACTTGGCACCACATCTGGCCACTAGGGGGCAGCCACGGGGCAGAAAATAATCCATCATGCTGATTGACAGGGCTATTTCAGACAGCAATAAAGACAAGCAATTGCATTATGACCTCTTCGTGGATGCCAGTGAAGTTGAAGGATGCCAGATGACTCACACAGCCCAGCCCACTTGACTGTGACCCTCTTGGTCCGGGAGGTGTGGTCAGGTCTGAGGCAGGGTGGAGAAGGGTCTAAAGAGAAACCACTCTGCTAACAAGCAGAGTGGAGATGCTTGGTAAAAAGAGCTGGCCACATTGGTGGCTCCAGCTTCTGACTGAAGTGAAATCCTGCATTAACCTCAGCTGCCCAACAAGAGGACAGGGAGGTCAGGAGATCTTCCCATGGGCAGTACCTCATCTGTCCAATGAGAATCTGAGTCTCTGGAATATAACCAAGGGCTCACACTTAGGTCAAGTCAGGGAATAGAGTCCAGAGTCTGCATTTGGGCTCCTCCAGTCACACTTGGCAAAGCCACCCAGTCACACAGAGTGGGACATGAATTTTCTCTGTCTGTGAATTGCTGGAGGCCAGTGTAGCAAACCTTGCAGTCAGGAGCCCTTCCAGGGATCCTGGCCTTGGCCACCACTGTGTCATCCCAGTGTGGCAGGCACCTGCTCTCTCACACTGCTGACACCACAGGCAGCATTTGAAACTGTTCCTAAGGCTTAGGGACAGAAGATGTTTGCCCCAAAGGAATCCAGTAAGGTGGAGTCAGAGCTAGGCAGAGATCCAGTTTTTCCATGTGACCCGATTCCCACTATTGTCTCAACGCCTAGACTGTGGAGCCTGGCCGCAGGCAGAACCAGACATGCACATTTATCTTGTGACAAGTGCAAATGCCAAGACAAATGCAAATGGAAAGGAAAAAAAATGGATTCCGGAAGCCAACCCATTATATTCTCTAGACAAATGAAATTGAGATTAATTTGTGTGAAGACGCCTAGGATCTAAATCAAACGCAAGGAGGATTTATTGATAACTCTGTTCATCATTCCACCCAGCGACTCCTCCCCATAGCCAGCAGTTGCCGGCCCATCCCCTGCCTCCTCCTTCATCCTCAGAGGTATAAGCCATTCTAATACCCCCCCCCCTTTAGTGTATACAGATTCATTCTGTCGGTTCTAGCCCTCCAGAGAACCTTGACTAACACAGAAAATTCTGCAAGTTTGGAGTGCCATCCGGGGCTTCACATGAAGGGATCTAGAACACAGTCATGTTCAACCTTTTATAGCTTTCTGGAGCAGTGATGAGTCTCCAGGCCAGGTAAGATAACTCTTTGGGAAGAGAGATAGCTCTTGGGGTGGAGGATTTCTAGCAGCAGTGGCTTGGTAGTTGACTTGTGATCACAACCACCTGAGGACCCCAGAACCTATGACAATCTGTGCTGACTCAGGGGACATCATCAGTACGGTTTGGTAGGTGGGGAAGAAAGAAAGAAGATGGGGACCCATGTCAGAGTCCCCCTCCTCCTTCTAGAGAGCCCACAAGGGCTTCTCCGTTAACAGTTCAGTTTCACGTTAGTCCTGGGTAGGCAGTGAGACCAGTCCCATTCCCATCTGATCCCCATTTGGGGAACAAGGTGGCCACCAATGAGGATCCACACCCTTGCCATGGTCTCCCAAACTACACACAAGAAAGCAGAGGAGAGTCAGTGGTCCTTCCCAGGCACAGGCTGTGGAGCAGACCCCACCCAGAAGAAGTAGGTGGAGCAGGGGGAGATGAGGCCCAGCAAAGGGAAAGTTCATGAACATACCTTTCTTTCCATCTCCAGAAGTGAACTCACTGGGGTAGTGTTCCTGTGAATTAAGTGCGAGGCTAAAATGAACCTCTAGGTGGCAGCACCAGGACAGTCATTCCCCATCACCTAGCCAGACCAAGAGAAGCATGGGATTAATGGCAGTGAAGAAGTGATTGGCAAAGGCTGGGTTCCTATCCTGGACTGGCTACAGCAGCTCATAGCAGAGGATCATGGGGAAACAAATGTAGACTTGCCAGCTCTACTCAGGGGAAGCTCAACCCGGCCACTACCTTCAGAGACTGGTGGCCATACCTCAAACCTGCAAGCAGGGTTGAGCATACTGATACATGCTTGTAATCCCAGTACTTGGGAGACCGAGGCAGCAGGATTCCAAGTGTGAGGCCAGCCCAGGCTGTATATCAAGTTTCAGGCTATTCTGGGCTACACAGTGAAACTCTTGTCTTAAAACAAAATCTACAATCCCATCTATTTGTCCTTGCTTGCGTAATAGCGTCTTTCTGAATAGGTCAATTACGTGCGAAGTCCACACAACTGTGGTCTTCATCCAGAGTCAGACAGCCTTGGATTACCTTCCTCTTAAACCACAGTTTTCCTCTCTAAAAACTTCCTCTAAAGGGTACTAAACATATGAATGACTGAGCAGATCAGTTTCAGTGCAGAGGGAAGAAGCCCTGAGCAAGCCAAGTCCCGAGTGACCGGATGCTGTTGACACAGGCACAGCCAAATCAGGGACTCCAAAGCCTCAGCTCTGTGGCAAAATCTCTGCCCCACCCCACCCCTCTCCCCTGAGTGGCCAAATGAGGCTCACAGGGATGGCAAAATCTTTCGGTTTCTGTGGATGGTGACAGTGTACACAGAAAATGTCCATCATAGTTTTTTCTCTCCAGATGTTTATGTGTTGAGGACTTTTGCCCTCCTCCTGAGAAGAGTGGAAACCCGCCTCCTTGATTGAGCTGAGTATAGTAATAGCCCCACCTCCTTGTTTATTGTATGCAGTAGCCCCGCCTCCCTGTTGGATTGTATATAATAAACACGATGAGATTCTGGGGTGCTGTGGCATCTCCATCACAGAGCCCACTCCATTTAATCCCAGCTTTTCCCGGGTGTCTGTGTCTTTCCTCATTCCCTCACAGCCCCAGTCAGGTCCACCCCTGGAGTCAGGCTGGATGCAGCAGATCTCTACATGGTGGGGTTCCATAATGCTATCCTTCCCCCCTCCTGGGAAATAACAGTTTGTGGAGCTTGCACAAGGCCAGGGAGAGCTGAGCATGGGTCTGCTATGCTCTGGCCTAAAACTCCTAACCTTCTGTGTTTGCTTAATGTCTGCAAAAGGAAATTTCAGACAGTACACAGTTAATCAGAAGGACTTTGGGCAATGATAATTCTGTCTCCGTTACTGTCCACCCCACAGGCACAACTGATCTGTGGACCTTCCTCAACCCAACACTTACCAAAGAGAAAGCAGGGGCAGACCTTACCTCAACCAGAGATCGTGCCCTTCATCTTGCCAACTCAGGTGCACCATGGGTTTGGTGGGCCTCTCACCACAGAGAAGAAACAGCATTCAAATTGGAGATGGCTGAAGCAATGTCCACTTTAAAAAATGGAGGGACCGGGAGCAAAATGCCCTGGAATCTTCCATCAGTGTGCTCCTGGCTTGAACTAGGCACGAAGTGGAAGTGGTGGGTGCTTGTCTCAAGCCTAATTCTAGGTGGAGTCACAGGGGTGGGAAGGGGAAAATGGAGCCGAAACCCAGGCTTGATCCGGGGACTGGTTTTTGCTTTCCCTCTCAGCTGCGAAACCCAGCCAAGAAACATTTAAGAAAGAAGTTTTACAGAGAGACACACCATGGATGGCACTTTCAGGAATTAAAGGCTGGAACAAGAGTTCTAATTGGTCTTAATAATAAAAACCTGCAGTCAGATGGCTGGGCAAATGTTGAAAGATTGGAAAGAGAAAAGAGCAAGCTACAGCCAACTCTTTCTTACCTTGCTAACTCCTCAGCCGCAAGAAACCAAGTTCCTGTCTATTCCCGCCATATATTCTTCTCTCTGCTCAGCCGTATCACTTCCTGCCTGTCTGTTCAGACCTCCAGACCTCTATGGTTAACTAGTGGCTAGCTCCGGCCTCTGATCTGCAGACAAACTTTATCTGATAGATTATAAACAAGGAATATCACCACATGAGGCCACTGGCAAAAAAAAAAAAAAAAAATCTTTCCTGTAATTCTCTGGGAAGGTATTGTGCATACAGTTAAACCATAGCTGAACTGTAATGTATTCTCTCTGAACCACCATGGAAAAGGAAAAATGGAGGTTCACCAGAATCCAGCATATGTGGGATTCTAATCAGACTCTCTCTCTCTCTCTCTCTCTCTCTCTCTGTGTGTGTGTGTGTGTGTGTGTGTGTGTGTGTGTGTGTGTGTGTGTGTGTGTGTGTGTGTGTGTATGTGTGTGTGTACATGTGTGTTTGCCTGTGTATCTTCCATGTTTCCAGTGTGGTGTTGTGGGATAACCTTTTTGTACACTGTAAGGATGTGTCTCTGCTAAGGTGCCTTCTGATTGGTTAATAAAAAGCTGAATAGCCAGGAGAGAATGGGCAGGACTTCCAGGGAGAGAGAGGACTTTGGGAAGAGGAGAGGTAGAGTTGCCAGTGAGACACGGAACAAATCAGACATACAACATGGAAGAGGTAAAAAGCGAAGTGGTATAACATAGATTAATAAAAGCAGGTTAGTTCAGGTTATAAGAGCGAGTTGCGAACAAGCCTAAGCTAAAGGCCACGTTTTCACAATTAATAAGTCTCGGTGCCATTATTTGCAGGCTGACAGTCCCACAAAGGAAAAGTCCGACTACAGTATGGTATATACAGACTCCTGAAAATAATCACTGTGGGAAGGCAGCGTGCACCAGATATGTTGCAGGGAGTGACCATGCCTCTCTGACATGAGCATGTGGAGCGGAACCCAGCCCTGCACACATCTCGGGGTTGTAAAGATGGCTTAATGAAGGGAAAACTGCAGATGTAGTGTTTGCACTTCCCTTTCTCTGCTTTCTGGTGGCCCCAGTGACAGGGACTTCTTGCACACTCTCCCTTTCATGGACTAAGACCTCTGAAACCAGGAGCTAAAGAAGAATTTTCCCCTAAAGCTACTTCTGTGGGAATTTGGTCAGAGTGGTAAGAAAAGTCACACACCTGTTGGCTTCTTTCTGGTTTTACACGCTATGGCTATATGCTACAATCAAATCTCCTTGAGTCACTGCTGTAAAAGTAAAAAAGGAAGAAAGGGAAAAAGAAATTAATGAGCACCTTTGAAACGATACGCTGCCATTGTTTTTGTAAAGGCAGATGCCGTCAAGGTTGCAGGAGCTGGTGTTTCACTGCAGAAGAAAGCCAGCTCTGAGCAATGGAGGATGATGTCACTATGGATTAGGAATTACAGATGGATGCAGGTGGCCATGTGAGGGCTGGGAATCAAAGCCAGGTCCGATGAAGAGAAGCCAGTGCTCTAACCACTGGTATACCTCTCCAGCACAGGAACTACATTTCATGGATGTTGTAGGAAGCTAAAAGAGCAGATAATTAGTTAGATCAATTCTTAATGCTTTTCATTAGCTAGAGGTAAAATAAATAAACACATAAATAGATTGCCATTAAAAAAATACTTGTTTTTGCCAGGTGGTGGTGGTGGTGGTGGTGGTGGTGGTGCACACCTTTAATGCCAGCACTCGGGAGGCAGAGGCAAGTGGATCTCGGTGAGTTTGAGGCCAGCCTGCTCTACAAAGCTACACAAAGAAACCCTGTCTTGAAAAAACCAATCCCCCCCCCAAAAAAAATTCATAAAGAACCCTATTGTTCCGAAGCTGGGGAATGTACATATGTACACTCCTCCTCTTGCCGCACGGGCACACCAACACAAGAACACCCTTACGTGCCCACAGAGAAACTAATTTGTTTGCTTGTTAATTAGCTAAAGTGTTTAATTTAAAGGAGAATGCAGAAAGGTCAGTCACTGTCTGCTGTGGGTTGGATCTGTGGGGCAAAAAATAAATGACACTTGTAACATGGTGTGTTGCTCGGGATCAGATGTGGGATTTACGGAGCGTTTTGCCTAAAAGCAAAAATGTTCCACAGACAGATCATTTTAAGAAAATCTCAAAGAACATCCTAACATCTTTTTTTGTTTGTTTGTTTGTTTTGTTTTTTGAGTCAGGATATCTCTGTGGCTTTGGAGGCTGTTCTGGAACTAGCTCTTGTAGACCAGGCTGCTGGTCTCGAACTCAGAGATCCACTTGCCTCTGCCTCCCAAGTGTTGGGATTAAAGGCGTGCACCACCAACACCCAGCTAGATAGAACATCCCAACATCTTAAGCCACCTGTCATCATTTCTTTTTCATAACCTCTGACTCTTTTTGCCATAGGACACACACACAAAACGTCTGATACACAACTGGGACACAAAGTTTTGTTTCTCATAGGCTTTTGTCACCACGCTACACTATCCTCATGGTGACTCACTTAGTGACACTAACCCATAGAAGCAATGGGAGAAGTTTACTTAACTCTCGTATTTCTGCTGCTTCCAGCCTTCCTATTACGAATACCATCACCACCATCTCACACATAACCGTGTTCTCTTTGACAACCCTGTCTCAAGTTACGATTCTAGGAACATTGTTACCCTGTTTAAAAGACATGTCCCATGGTGCACACTTTTCCCTCAGAGACCAGTATAGCTTTCCCAGACACTCTTACCACACCCTTGAAAGCTGAGGACAGGGCAAATTCTTGGCCCACGGATGATGTGATGTGGTCCCAATGTTCTGCCCAGAATGGACAACCAGAGATCATCTTGCCTATGGATAGTGTTGTATTCAAATCACCATCAACACCCTGGCATAGTCTCAGAAATGAAGCAGACTTTCACCCTTTATTCAGCAGTACCCGGGACCTGAGGCAGACCTCCAGACGCTGGGGTAAGAGAACTGGGAGTTTCGTTCTGAGGTTGTTAGGGCCTGCCTTGTGAATTCTGAATGTGGAGGGGTGCCACTCTCAGGAAAAGAGCAACTTGCTTCAAGCAAAGGTAAAAATAGATGTCACATTTGACATTTGCAAGAGATGGAATAAAAATTCATTAAGAGAGAGAGAGAGAGACAAGCGTGGGCTGACAGAGAAATCAAATCAGATTTCCTCCCAGGGTACCCGACTCCTTTGGGATAGAACCTGGGCACCAGGACCACAGAGCGGAAGCCTGCACTTTGGCCGCAGACATCCTGCTTTGATAGGATCTGTAAGAGTGGAGTGGCAGAATCCGGCCTCTGCTGGGTCCTCCTCTCACGCTGACAGGCATCCTAGTGGGTCAGTGTTTGTGATTCCTGAGCTAACCCATTTGCCGCTGGTGCCTCCACTCAAAGGGGGTGCCACATTCTGTTCCACATCTCATCTCCGGCCTCCTCTCAGAGAGCCAGGCTGTGAACCTTCCTCATCCTCTGGGGAGCGGGCTCTTATTCTCTTCAGGGACCCTGCCATGCTGTCTCTGGTGTTGGGGCCTGAACTCTCCCTCTGTCTGCCGTCTGCCCATGCTGTCAGTAGCTCTAATAAACTCCTAGCCTCCGGTAAACCACCTCACTGTCCTCCTGAAGCAATCACCCCACCCAAGCCTAACATCCAGGGCTACATGCAGGGAGCTAAAGATTAGTAACACGGAAAGCAGACGGATAGCGTGGCTGTCGGACTCCACCTCGAGCTGCTACTTAGAAACAACACCTCATTTCCCTCCCAAGGAACCCAGAGCCCTGCAGACGTCTTTCACTTGGTTGACCACCCCAAATAAAGGAGGGAGGCCGAAGGAGCAGGGACATCACATACTGAACAACTGTATTTCTTGAAAAATCAAGTTCAATCTTGGATTCAGTATCTTAGGCCATTATGTAGAGTCCGTATTTCTCCACCAAACGTCCACCACCTCTGCCTCACCACCTGAGAACTGACATTTACCAAATAAAAGAAAACTAAATGTCTTCTGCTGGGAATTTCTGCACTGGTCTCACTCCCCTTATTCTAAACCCCCGGAGCTCCTCAGAAAGCCTGCCAAGGGCAGCTCCACCCCAGAGCTCTTCAACAAATGTACCAATACCAATGGTACAGGGTATTTTAGCTCTGGTCATCAGACCTGCCATGTGATTTCTCTTCTGCTTTCTTCCCCCAAGAATCACCTGGGAGTTGCTCTGCTCATTAAATCTGGTCTCCTATTCTTTTCTTTGTTTTGGCTTTGGTTTGGCTTTTCGAGACAAGGTTGACAAGGTTTCTCTGTAATAGCCTTGGCTGTCCTGGAACTTGCTCTGTAGATCAGGCTGGCCTTGAACTCACAGAGATCCAACTGCCTCTGCCTCCTGAGTGCTGGGATTAAAGGCGTGTGCCACCAGTGACTGGCTTGGTCTTTAATTCTTAATTTGGCTTGATTTTCATTACTTTGTCAGCAGAGAGACTTAATATCGGGGTGTGGAGACCTTTCATCTTCCTTGTCCTGGGGATGTAGTACACTTTCCTAGCACACTGAAAATAAATGTTTTCTGTGTCTCTGCTTGCTACCAAGGTGGGCAACGTGCTGCATATCCACTGACAGTTCTGGTATCCCTCTCAGCATCCACAGTTACAAGTCAGGGTTACTATTACTACGATGAAACACCAGGACCAAAGCAACTTGAAGAGGAATGGGTTTGTTTAATTTACACTTCCATATCACTGAAGGAATTCAGGGCAGGAACTCAATCAGGGCAGGGATCTGGAGGCAGGAGCTGATGCAGAGGCCATGGAGGGTGCTGCTTACTGGCTTGCTCCTATGGCTTGCTCAGCCTTCTTTTTTATAGAACCCAGGACCACCTGCCCATGGACGGCACTACCCACAATAGGCTGGGCCCTCCTCCATCGATCACTAATTTAGAAAATGCCCAACAGGCCTGCCTACAGCCTGATCTTATGGAGGCATTTTCTCAATTGGGGCTCCCTCAATTGTGTGACATTGACATGAAATTAGACAGCACAACTGACCCCTTTTCAACTTGTCACACAAACAAATCACTGCTGAAACACAACCTTTCCCCTCTTGTTCATCCCCGAGGTTTCACCTTAAAAAATATAAGTAACTTTAAAAAATTATGCAGTTTTTAAAAATTCAAACACTTTAACAGTTAAGTCTCTTTTAAAGTATCCAATCTCTCTCTCTCTCTCTCTTTTTATTTTGGTTTTTTGAGACAGGGTTTCTCTGTGGCTTTGGAGCCTGTCCTGGAACTAGCTCTTGTAGACCAGGCTGGTCTCAAACTCACAGAGATCCGC